GGACTGGGACTCCATGCAAGATCTCAAATCGTGCGGCATCAATACGGAGCCCCCTAGGGGACATGCAGAATTTTTTTTCTTTTGCATTCCCTGGCAAAACCTTTTGTGTTCCCTCACAATACTTTTGCGTTACCTCACAATACTTTTGCGTTACCTGCATGAGGTAACGCATGCAGGTAACACATACGATATAAAAATATTATGCAGCACTTTTATATATGATGTTTTTCATCATGCTGTAATAGCAATCATATTTGGAGATTGGAGTAGTGGTCAGTGGAAAACAATTTCCCTTTTGGGAAAACAATGTTAAAGTTTACTTCCATTTCAACACAATAACCCAACATAGTTTTTGTACAAAAATGTCTACACTTATAATTAAACAAGGTGTAGTATTACTTTAAGCTTTATAACAGAATATGTCATCACCTTATCCATCTTCTTCAGATTTATTTTTTCTTCCGTAACAGGCCTTGATCGAAGGAAGGCTTCTAGATCCTCCTCCATCCTACATATTTTCCAAACAGTTTTCTAAATTCATAATGTATACAATTAAACTGCAAGAGTTTAAGCTCATAAGTATTTCAGTATTTCAATGTCACTTTTCTTTGGGGCACCATAAATTATGTAAGTACTTAAAGGGAGCTAAAACAGATAAGAGAAAAAGACAAAATCTACAACAGAAAGAATAAATAAATAAAATAAGCTCACCAGAGATACCCAGCCACCCCAGTAAAGCAGTGCCTCTTAATTCCAGTCCTCAGTCCTGCTCTGCATGTTTTAGGCTACGTTCACACTGCAGGCCTTGATGCTCAATTTCGATTTTTTTTGTGAAATCTGATTTTTTTTTGCGTTGCCATTCCCATTTCCAAATATATATTCGACTTGTATGTGATCTCCTGTGTGAACTGCAGTCATACAGCGCAAGTGTCCCACATGCGCAGTAGAGGACGCAGTGACGTCACAGGCCAGCCTGCTCTGTGTTTACGGAAGTAAAAATGGATGGTAGTGCCGGTGTTGGGCTTTAATCAGTTTCTAGTAAGTCGGCTGAGGTCAAAACGCCCTGCTAGAAACTGATTAAAGGCCAAATGTGGGTGATTTTTGCCTAAAAGGGACTTTTTCTATTTAAAATAAGATGCTTCTGAATGAAATCAAGTCATATTTGGGCAGATATCCCCTTTGAATGACAGTATTTGGGCTTCAATACATTTTTTGCAAGTCAAAATGGCTATTTTGTGTTGTAATGGTCCTTTAAAAGAGTTCCAAGCTGTTTTGTGAGCTCAGATCTTTAAATCATGCATCTCCTGAAGGAAATCTAGTCATATTTAGGTAGAAATAACCTTTGAGTGACTATACTGTGCCTTCAATCAATTTTTGACAGGTGAAAACCGATTGAAAACTGCAAAACACATTGAAACATGGAAAACTCGTGCTATATACGGCCAGATCAGATAAAAAACAATGCAGAGTCACGAGGATCGTTGCAAAAGTTATATCTTTATTGAAAACCCTCCAGTAAATCATATTTATTGTAGTGTAGTCTCCAATGTCAGGGCACACAGTCATCAGACCGTATAGAAACATGTCTATCACGTAACTACCGTTATGTGACAAACGTTAAGCTTTCGAATCTTTAATAAGGCCTATATTATAATTTAATTAGGCCTATATTATAATGCAACTGTGTGTATCTGCATGTCATGACCGTTTAATCCAGAGAAAAGCAGGTTTACGCTATCGCTCAGAGGGCTGCTGTGCGCGCTCCCGCGAGCGTAATCAGATTCTCGCAGACATTCAGTTTTCCGCACAACACCGGAGCGCATCTAGCGATCTTTCCCAACCATAAAAACACAATCTTTTCAAGATGGTAACACATAAATACTGCTCTCCGCATCATCGTCTGCCATGATTATTGTTTTTCTTGCCACTTCTGCGTAGCAAGAAGCAGAATAGTGACCGTTATCAGGTTTTAATGCCGTTTAGGTTAGATAAATGCGACCTGTGTCTTAACGGCTAGGTCGCATTTATCCATTAACCATATTGAAAAGATCCTTTTCGTATCGGATTCAGGACCACATAGCCAAGTGGCTAGGGCCGCATTGGAAAAAATTGGATCTGTGTTGTTCAGACTGCCATGAAAAGATCAGATACAGGTCGCATATGGGCCAAAAAATCGGATTTAGGTCACTTTAGGCTGCAGTGTAAACATAGCCTTAGATGTCTCTCTATTCCAGAACAGCTGTTCCAAATGATTGCATTAGCTCTTCTGCAGTAATCAAGTACAGCAGAAGGCTGTTAATCACTATCAGATTCAAATCGGGTGTGTGACGACCAGCATTGAGAAACACTGGCTCTGTTCGAATTCATGGGCTGCATCCTCCAATGCGTGGGTACCTAGATTGGATCCTTTGAAGTCCGTGAAAATAAGGAGACCAGAAGAGTTTTGGCTGTGAATTCAAACAGCTCTACCTTTCGGCGTAAGCTATGTTGCTTAGCAACCATGACAATTGACTACACAAAGCATGAAAAGAATGAATACAGAGGTTTTCAAAACTGTGTGTTTATTTCTTTCTTTTTTATTGTAAAGTGAACAAAGACTGCACTCACGAGAATCCACAGTGGAATAAAGATTCCAACCACCAGGAGCAGGAACAAATAAAACCAAATGTAATGATAGAAACTTTAGTCAGTTAAATAACATGCTGCTGTCATTTTGCACATCTCTGATGATGATGCTATTTTCAAATATCCATTACTGTAAAAATGTCCATAGCTGCATATTGGTTATTTATTCTACAGTTTTATATTGTTAAAACATGTTACAGTATTTTATTGTTTATATTTTAACTCTTCCCTATTATGTTATTCTTAGACATTTTTCTAAGGTTCACATTTGTGTGACCATTTTCAATAATCTTTCTGCTGTAAATTTCCCCATTGTGGGACAATAAAGGGATTTCTATTCTATAAAAGGGGTAGAAAGATATAAGTAAATCTAAACTATATATATATAAAAAATATATCTGCAAAATCTCTAAAATACAACAACAAAAAATATAGTTAAGCATATTGTGCAAAACAGCAATAAAAAATTTAAATCCTATCAGATTTGTAGTCCCCAAACTGCAGATATATTAGAATCTGTCCTTAAATTACAGCCAAACCCATTTACACAGTAACAGATAAAAATCTTTAGATAAATCAAACATTACCGCCACATATCTGACTCAATAACAATTAAAACAACTATTTTCATTCGTTTCAGATATAACTATTCGCATACTTTTATTATAATAAACTCAAATTTCAATATTCACCATTGTTCCCTCCAGGCACGGAGCAGCCGGCTTGCTTGGTCTCGCAATGAATCCTGGGATACAGCCCAGGATACATCGGACCCATCTTTTTTCAAATTGGGCAAAAAGAAGGACGCATTTTATGGCAGCATAACAAGGAGTCTTGAAACCTGACAAGACCTCGGCGCCGTGCTTTGACGTAATCGTCCTTTGAATCTGGCCTTCTAAGGATGCGTCCCATATATATATATATATATATATATATATATATATATATATATATATATATATATATATATATATAATTTGTTGGCCAAGAACACAGTATAATGAACATTATGCATCAAAAACTGCCTCACAACTTTTCCAAGGGGAAAAGCCTGTGAAATGATTAGCTTGCCTCAGTTGAAAATAATGAGGGACAGATTAACAATCCATTAGAAATCAATGAAATATTTAAGGTCTCTTTTGAAAGCCGGCTGGGCTTAAGAGGTTAAAATGCGGTTTGGATTCCCACAATCCACTGTGGCATTATCAGTTTTAACTCACACAGGTAGGCATTTTTAATCTGCAAAAAATATGTTGACCCTCTTTTAAAAAGTCCTAGGGCTATTGACAGTGTCGACACAGACATTTTGAAGGGCAGAGGCAGAAAGAAAAACAAGGGTACCTATAGCGGTTCCTGACCAATGTAGAGCGCACTTCAGAATTACTTTACTACATGTTTAAGCTGACAAGTGGCCACTTTAAAATATGTCCTAACTCCAACGAGGGGACTTTACACAGTTTTGACTCCCAAGATGGCACTTTAGTATAGGTCTAGGCTCCTCAGAAGGTACTGTAACATTTGTTTTGGCCCCCAAGGATGCACTGTACTGTGCATTTTAGCCCCAAAGAAAGCACCTTAGCAGGTGCTTTGGTCCCCAAGAGCTCACTTTAAGATGCATTTAAGCTTGAGAGAACACTTTAGCACTGTTTCTTTTTTTTTCAGTGACAAAAGTGTGCTCAGTATGTGACGAGTCATCCCAGTCTAGCTGAGCAGAGGGGGAGGGGAGGCAGTCACCCACACGGTAAAAGGAGGGAGGGGGAGACAAGAGAAAGACAGGAAGGGGCCACAAGGAGACATGACATAAATGCTTTATTTTATTTAGTAGATACATCTTGAAAAATGTAAGTTTCATATGGTCAAGTTTTTCTATTTAAGTATTTTTTAGCAGGTTGTAGTGAATAAAGCAATATTAATATACCAACATGAAAACGATTCACTTTGCTTAACTTTGCCTTATAATTGAAAATGAATCTAACTGAGCAATACAAAGACCCCAAGAAGTATTTAGGTGCCAAAGGAACCATCTCATTTTAGTGAGCCAAGCTAAATGACCTAGTTCTTTCAATCAAAATGAAGTTTTCATGACTAGAACAAACTCTGATCCATAAAGATGATTACCATTTGTAAATATTGTTTCTGACTGTCTATCTCTAATGAACCTTCAAATGAAATCAGAGAAAAGCCCAAACAGTCTCCCACTACCAGAAAATCATGTACATTTTAGGCCCTAGAGAGATATTAGTGATGGAGTTAGTGAATATCGTTTAATGTAATGATAAATCAACATTTGCCAGATATTTCTATACACCAGGAATAGTATGGGTAGAGCTACGCATTAGTAATTTTGCAATCATTCCATTTTCTTTTAACAGATTATCAGGGGAGAGCGCGAACGCAGTCCCCCACTACCAGAAATTATGCAGTCGAGATTCCCACATTTGGGGAATTCGCAGGGGTCAGCACAACCGGAGTGCAATGGCTGAGCCTCACCCTGGGTGAACCACCTTCTTGATCATGGTATCTCCCCTGCCAGGTAAGTATGAGTTGCTCAGCTCACACACCGGGATTCATTTCACACACACACTTAAATGACTAACGGTCTAAATACACCATCAACTAGCAGGACCATGTAAAGCCTGATGGCAGCCATCCTACACAAGTTAAAGTCTTTCTGACCAGCTTTGGTGTAAAAAAGGACAATTCGGTTGGATTTCTTTTTTTTACAAATACACTTAGTTTACCCATGATGCAATGCTGCTTGAGCAAAGCTAAAGTAAACAGACAAAGAACGTGTTCCTCCTTTCCTTTCCCTTCATTTTTTCCTTTTCTTTGTAAAATGGCAACAATGAAACATGATAAATATGAAGGATATAAATCTGTTTGTTGTATAAAACTATTTTAAAACACCTTGGAGAGTAAGAATATAAACAATAATGAGCTTGTTTTACTTGTAGTACAGCCACTTCCGGTTTTCTTTGTTCAGAAACAGGTCTGGTGCTGCCCCCTGCTGGAATGGTTGGTGAAGAGTCTGCATCTGAGAAAGAAAACAAATTAAAAACCATCTGAAAACTGCTTTACAATTTAAAGAGTAAAGCAAAAATAAATTGCTTTAATTAACCACTGATTATGCAGTTCTTTAAAGCTAGTCTTAAAAAAACATCGGAAATAATTTAACTAAAACCACAAGAAAAGTCCAAAACTCTCAGATTTTGACCTATCTAAGTTATTACATTCACTTCTGTTATTATTTTAACCTGTTTTTTTTTATCAAAAGTAGATACAACTCAAAGATAAACCAAGTTAATCTTTCTCTCAGCCCACTGGCAGCAACACTGACCAACAAGATGCCGTGAGGCCAAGAGCCCTAACATTATGGCAATAAAAGCATCTCAGGTTTCCGTTGTGGGCACACAGTCATATGAAAAACTTTGGGCACCCTTATTAATCTTAATTATTTTAATTTCTAAATATTTGGGTGTTTGCAACAGCTATTTCAGCTTGATATATCTCATAACTGATTGACACTGTAATATTTCAATTTAAAACAAAATTTGACAGGTGCAAAAATATGGGCACATCAGCAAAAAAGAGACATTAATATTTAGTAGATCCTCCTTTTGCAGAAACAGTAGCCTCTAGTTGCTTCCTGTGGCTTTTAATGAGTTGCTGGACCCTGGATGAAGGGATTTTTGACCATTCTTCTTTGCAAAACAATTCCACTTCAGTTAAGTTTGATGGTCGCTGAGCATGGACAGCCTTCTTCAAATCATCCCACAGTTGTTCAATGATATTCAGGTGTGGGGAGTGGGATGGCCATTCCAGAACATTGTAATTCTTCCTCTGCATGAATGCCTGAATTGATTTGTTGCAGTGTTTCTGATCATTGTCTTGCTGAAATATCCATCCCTGGCGTAGCTTCAACTTCGTAACTGATTCTTGAACATTATTCTCAAGAATCTGATGATATCGAGTGGAATCCATGCAACCCTCAACTTTAACAAGATTCCCAGTGCCAGCATTGGCAACGCAGCCCCAAAGCATGATGAAACCTCCACCAAATTTTACAGTGGGTGGCTGCGTTTTTCTTGGAATGCTGTGTTTTTTTTGCCGCCATGCATAACGCCTTTTTTTTTTTTTTATGACCAAACAACTCAAACTTTGTTTCATCAGTCCACAGGACCTTATTCCAAAATGAAGCTGGCTTGTCCAAATGTGCTTTTGCAAACCTCAAGCGATTGTGTTTGTGGCGTAATTGCTGAAAAGACCTCTGTTGCATCACTCTTCCATACAGTTTCTTCTGGTGCAAAGTGGGCTGAATTGTTGAAAGATGCACAGTGACACCATCTGCAGCAAGATGATGTTGCAGGTCTTTGGAGGTGGTCTGTGGGTTGACCATTCTCACCGTTCTTCTTCTCTGCCTCTCCAATATTTTTATTGGTCTGCCACTTCTGGGCTTAACAAGAACTGTCCCTGTGGTCTTCCATTTCCTTAATATGTTCCTCACAGTGGAAACTGACAGTTTAAATCTCTGAGACAACTTTTTGTATCCTTCCCCCAAACAACTATGATGAACACCCTTTGTTTTCTGATTATTTGAGAGTTGTTTTGAGGTCTCCATGATGAATCTTTAGAGGAGATTCAAACAGGAGAACAACTTGCAACTGGCCACCTTAAGTACATTTTCTCATGATTGGATACACATGGCTATGAAGTTCAAATCTTAAAGAAGTTACCAAACCGATTTTGTGTTTCAGTAAGTCAGTGAAAAGTAGCTACGGGTATTCAAATCATTAAAATGATTAGGGTACCCACATTTTTGAACCTGTCAAGTTTTGTTTTAGTGCGTCCTGCAAATTTTTTGGTAGTCCAATAAACCTCAATTCAATACTGAAATGTTACCGTGTCCATCAGTTATTAGATATATCAAGCTGAAACAGCTATTGCAAACACCCAAATATTTATAAATGAAAATAGTTAAGATCAATAGGGGTGCCCAAACTTTTTCATATGACTGTATAGCCATTCCTTTTTTTTAAATGGTTAATATTGATCTCAGGGCTGGATTACTAGTATGAGTACTAGTAAATAAAGCAATATTAATATACCAACATGAAAACGTCTGTCTAATTGAGCAATACAAAGACCCCAAGAAGTATTTAGGTGCCAAAGGAACCATCTCATTTTAGTGAGAAGCTAAATGAGCTAGTTCTTTCAATCAAAGGCTACGTTCACACTGCAGGCCTTGATGCTCAATTCCAATTTTTAATTTTTTTGCAAAATCCGATTTTTTTTGCGTTCCCGTTCATTTTTCCAAATATATGCAACTTGTATGTGATCTACTGTGTGAACTGCAGTCATACAACACAGGTGTCCTGCATGCGCAGTAGAGGACGCAATGACGTCACAGCCCAGCATGCTCATGCCGGCGTGCATCTAGCGGTCTTTTCCAAGCATAAAAACACAATCTTTTCAATATGGTTAAACATAAATACTGCTCTCCACATCATCGTCCGCCATGGTTGTTGTTTTTCTTGCCGCTTCTGCATAGCAAGACGCATAATAGTGACCTTTGTCGGGTATAAATGATGTTCAGGTAGGATGAATATGACCTGGTCGTTCAGACACAGGTCGCATTTGAAATGATCAGATTCGTATCGGATTTAAGACCACATAGCCAAGTGGCCTGGGTCGCACTGGCAAAAATCGGATCTGTTTTGTTCAGACAGCCATGAAAAGATCCGATTCAGGTCGCATATGGGCAAAAAAATCAGATTTGGGTCATTTCAGGCTGCAGTGTGAACGTAGCCAAAATGAAGTTTTCATGACTAGAACAAACTCTGATCCATAAAGATGATTACCATTTGTAAACATTGTTTCTGACTGTCTATCTCTAATGAACCTTCAAATGAAATCAGAGAAAAGCCCAAACAGTCTCCCACTACCAGAAAATCGTGTAAATTTTAGGCCCTAGTCAGATATTAGTGATGGAGTTAGTGAATATCGTTTAATGTAATGATAAATCAACAGTTGCCAGATATTTCCATACACAAGGAATAGTATGGGGAGAGCTATGCATTAGTAATTTTGCAATCATTCCATTTTCTTTTAACAGATTATCAGGGGAGAGCGCGAACGCAGTCCCCCACTACCAGAAATTATGCAGTCGAGATTCCCACATTTGGGGAATTCGCAGGGGTCAGCACAACCGGAGTGCAATGGCTGAGCCTCACCCTGGGTGAACCACCTTCTTGATCATGGTATCTCCCCTGCCAGGTAAGTATGAGTTGCTCAGCTCACACACCGGGATTCATTTCACACACACACTTAAATGACTAACGGTCTAAATACACCATCAACTAGCAGGACCATGTAAAGCCTGATGGCAGCCATCCTACACCAGTTAAAGTCTTTCTGACCAGCTTTGGTGTAAAAAAGGGCAATTCGGTTGGATTTCTTTTTTTTACAAATACACTTAGTTTACCCATGATGCAATGCTGCTTGAGCAAAGCTAAAGTAAACAGACAAAGAACGTGTTCCTCCTTTCCTTTCCCTTCATTTTTTCCTTTTCTTTGTAAAATGGCAACAATGAAACATGATAAATATGAAGGATATAAATCTGTTTGTTGTGTAAAACTATTTTAAAACACCTCGGAGAGTAAGAATATAAACAATAATGAGCTTGTTTTACTTGTAGTACAGCCACTTCCGGTTTTCTTTGTTCAGAGACAGGTCTGGTGCTGCCCCCTGCTGGAATGGTTGGTGAAGAGTCTGCATCTGAGAAAGAAAACAAATTAAAAACCATCTGAAAACTGCTTTACAATTTAAAGAGTAAAGCAAAAATAAATTGCTTTAATTAACCACTGATTATGCAGTTCTTTAAAGCTAGTCTTAAAAAAACATCGGAAATAATTTAACTAAAACCACAAGAAAAGTCCAAAACTCTCAGAATTTGACCTATCTAAGTTATTACATTTACTTCTGTTATTATTTTAACCTGTTTTTTTATCAAAAGTAGATAAAACTCAAAGATAAACCAAGTTAATCTTTCTCTCAGCCCACTGGCAGCAACACTGACCAACAAGATGCCGTGAGGCCAAGAGCCCTAACATTATGGCAATAAAAGCATCTCAGGTTTCCGTTGTGGGCACACAGTCATATGAAAAACTTTGGGCACCCTTATTAATCTTAATTATTTTAACTTCTAAATATTTGGGTGTTTGCAACAGCTATTTCAGTTTGATATATCTCATAACTGATTGACACTGTAATATTTCAGTTTAAAACAAAATTTGACAGGTGCAAAAATATGGGCACATCAGCAAAAAAGAGACATTAATATTTAATAGATCCTCCTTTTGCAAAAACAGTAGCCTCTAGTTGCTTCCTGTGGCTTTTAATGAGTTGCTGGACCCTGGATGAAGGGATTTTTGACCATTCTTCTTTGCAAAACAATTCCAGTTCAGTTAAGTTTGATGGTCGCTGAGCATGGACAGCCTTCTTCAAATCATCCCACAGTTGTTCAATGATATTCAAGTGTGGGGAGTGGGATGGCCATTCCAGATCATTGTAATTCTTCCTCTGCATGAATGCCTGAATTGATTTGTTGCAGTGTTTCTGATCATTGTCTTGCTGAAATATCCATCCCTGGCGTAGCTTCAACTTCGTAACTGATTCTTGAACATTATTCTCAAGAATCTGATGATATCGAGTGGAATCCATGCAACCCTCAACTTTAACAAGATTCCCAGTGCCAGCATTGGCAACGCAGCCGCAAAGCATGATGAAACCTCCACCAAATTTTACAGTGAGTGGCTGCGTTTTTCTTGAAATGCTGTGTTTTTTTTTGCCGCCATGCATAACGCCTTTTTTTTATGACCAAACAACTCAAACTTTGTTTCATCAGTCCACAGGACCTTATTCCAAAATGAAGCTGGCTTGTCCAAATGTGCTTTTGCAAACCTAAAGCGATTGTGTTTGTGGCGTAATTGCTGAAAAGACCTCTGTTGCATCACTCTTCCATACAGTTTCTTCTGGTGCAAAGTGGGCTGAATTGTTGAAAGATGCACAGTGACACCATCTGCAGCAAGATGATGTTGCAGGTCTTTGGAGGTGGTCTGTGGGTTGACCATTCTCACCGTTCTTCTTCTCTGCCTCTCCAATATTTTTATTGGTCTGCCACTTCTGGGCTTAAAGCTGAAGTCTGTAAGTTTTTAAAAATCACTTTTTTTGTCATATTGGCTAAAACTGTCCCTATGCCCAGACAGCAGTACATGTGATATGTAACCTGTGAAAAAAACTGCTTCAATTGGTACCGCCTACTGCCTGTATTTCAATCTGGAAAGAATAATTCGGGACGAGTCAAAACAACCAATCACAGCCAGAGGAGCGTCTGATGGAGTGTCAATCACAGCTCACACACGCTGAATCCCCCCCCCCTTCTGGTCGCATGCGGTAGCCGCGCAGATGCTGTGAGAGGGGTGGAGCTTGGAGGTGGGGCATGAGTGAAGCAGAGAGGGTGGGGGAGTGGCGTGAAACCTGTTTTTCTTCAAATTTTCAGTTGAAGTCTGCTCTCTCCTCAATGTTACAGACTGCAGCTTTAACAAGAACTGTCCCTGTGGTCTTCCATTTCCTTAATATGTTCCTCACAGTGGAAACTGACAGTTTAAATCTCTGAGACAACTTTTTGTATCCTTCCCCCAAACAACTATGATGAACACCCTTTGTTTTCAGATTATTTGAGAGTTGTTCTGAGGTGCCCATGATGAATCTTTAGAGGAGATTCAAACAGGAGAACAACTTGCAACTGGCCACCTTAAATACATTTTCTCATGATTGGATACACATGGCTATGAAGTTCAAATCTTAATGAAGTTACCAAACCGATTTTGTGTTTCAGTAAGTCAGTGAAAAGTAGCTACGGGTATTCAAATCATTAAAATGATTAGGGTACCCACATTTTTGAACCTGTCAAGTTTTGTTTTAGTGCGTCTTGCACATTTTCTGGTAGTCCAATAAACCTCAATTCAATACTGAAATATTACCGTGTCCATCAGTTATTAGATATATCAAGCTGAAACAGCTATTGCAAACACCAAAATATTTATACATGAAAATAATTAAGATCAATAGGGGTGCCCAAACTTTTTCATATGACTGTATAGCCATTCCTTTTTTTTAATGGTTAATATTGATCTCAGGGCTGGATTACTAGTATGAGTGCTAGTAAATAAAGCAATATAATATACCAACATGAAAACGTTTGTCTAATTGAGCAATACAAAGACCCCAAGAAGTATTTAGGTGCCAAAGGAACCATCTCATTTTAGTGAGAAGCTAAATGAGCTAGTTCTTTCAATCAAAGGCTACGTTCACACTGCAGGCCTTGATGCTCAATTCCAATTTTTTATTTTTTTGCAAAATCCGATTTTTTTGCGTTCCCGTTCATTTTTCCAAATATATGCAACTTGTATGTGATCTACTGTGTGAACTGCAGTCATACAACACAGGTGTCCTGCATGCGCAGTAGAGGACGCAATGACGTCACAGCCCAGCATGCTCATGCCGGCGTGCATCTAGCGGTCTTTTCCAAGCATAAAAACACAATCTTTTCAATATGGTTAAACATAAATACTGCTCTCCACATCATCGTCCGCCATGGTTGTTGTTTTTCTTGCCGCTTCTGCATAGCAAGACGCATAATAGTGACCTTTGTCGGGTATAAATGATGTTCAGGTAGGATGAATATGACCTGGTCGTTCAGACACAGGTCGCATTTGAAATGATCAGATTCGTATCGGATTTAAGACCACATAGCCAAGTGGCCTGGGTCGCACTGGCAAAAATCGGATCTGTTTTGTTCAGACAGCCATGAAAAGATCCGATTCAGGTCGCATATGGGCAAAAAAATCAGATTTGGGTCATTTCAGGCTGCAGTGTGAACGTAGCCAAAATGAAGTTTTCATGACTAGAACAAACTCTGATCCATAAAGATGATTACCATTTGTAAACATTGTTTCTGACTGTCTATCTCTAATGAACCTTCAAATGAAATCAGAGAAAAGCCCAAACAGTCTCCCACTACCAGAAAATCGTGTAAATTTTAGGCCCTAGTCAGATATTAGTGATGGAGTTAGTGAATATCGTTTAATGTAATGATAAATCAACAGTTGCCAGATATTTCTATACACAAGGAATAGTATGGGGAGAGCTATGCATTAGTAAATTTGCAATCATTCCATTTTCTTTTAACAGATTATCAGGGGAGAGCGCGAACGCAGTCCCCCACTACCAGAAATTATGCAGTCGAGATTCCCACATTTGGGGAATTCGCAGGGGTCAGCACAACCGGAGTGCAATGGCTGAGCCTCACCCTGGGTGAACCACCTTCTTGATCATGGTATCTCCCCTGCCAGGTAAGTATGAGTTGCTCAGCTCACACACCGGGATTCATTTCACACACACACTTAAATGACTAACGGTCTAAATACACCATCAACTAGCAGGACCATGTAAAGCCTGATGGCAGCCATCCTACACCAGTTAAAGTCTTTCTGACCAGCTTTGGTGTAAAAAAGGGCAATTCGGTTGGATTTCTTTTTTTTACAAATACACTTAGTTTACCCCATTTTAAAATTTTTGCTTGAGCAAAGGGCTAAAGTAAACAGACAAAGAACGGGGTTCCCCCCTTTTCCCTTTTTCCCTTTTTATTTTTTTTCCTTTTTCTTTGTAAAATGGCAACAATGAAACATGATAAATATGAAGGATATAAATCTGTTTGTTGTGTAAAACTATTTTAAAACACCTTGGAGAGTAAGAATATAAACAATAATGAGCTTGTTTTACTTGTAGTACAGCCACTTCCGATTTTTTTTGGGTTTCAGAGAAACGGTTTTGGTGCTGCCCCCTTCCCCCCCTGGAAGGGTTTGGGGAAGATCGGGCATCTGAAGAGAAAACAAAACCACCCTGAAAACTGCTTTACAATTTAAAGAGAAAAGCAAAAAAAAAAATTGTTTTAAAATTAACCACTGTTTATGTAGTTTTTTTAAAAGCTAAAAAAAAAACCGGGGGAAAAAATCATCATACTCAAACCGCAAAAAAATTATAACCAATCAAAAATTTTACATTCATTTCTGTAACAATTTTTTTTTTTATTAAAATTAGATAAAACCAGAATACCCAAGTTACTTTTTCCCCCATAATCTGAATCCTCACGGGTTTAAAACGGGAAGGAAAGGAGCGGGTTGTTAAAATAACTCCCCCTTTTGAAAGTGCCTTTTAAACTCTACTCCGGGAAACTAGTAGTTTTTTTTGCTTTTTACTGACCAATTGTTTTCTTCTTTTTCAACAGTTGTTCAGTTGCCATTTTTCTCTCACCCCACTGGGGGAAAAACTGATCCACAAGATGCGGGGAGGCCCAAAAATCCTACAAATTTTGGCAAAAAAAGCATTCCAGGTTTCCCTCTTGGGCATATAGCCCTTCCTTTTTATTTTTTAAATTGGGTTAAAAATTGATCTAGGGCTTTTATTACTAGTCCCCGCACATTGAATATAACCGTTTTAAACCTCAACTTTCTGGAGCTATAACAAAAAATGTGTGGGAGTCCCGTTCCCCCTGCCTTTACATCCCTCCATCAGTTTCCAGTAAATTTTTCCCAAATCACTTCAAACGGAAACCCTTTTTTTTTAGTAAAACTTTCAATCATCAACCAGCAGAATCACAAGTAATTTGGGCTTTTAAAAACAGGGGGTCCCTCACCGCACATATTTTTAAAAAAGGCCCAAAATTTGAATAACTTCTTGCCAAATATTGTTTTTCACAGATTAGTAAAAATTTTTTTAGTGATTAAGTTTTCAACCCGGGCCCCGCATGTTTTTTGATGTCTAATTTAAAAACGAACCTAATTTAAATAATCACATGATTTTTCCCAGCAGATAAACAACCAATGGAGAGCCTGTTAATTTACCCTATAACAAAAGGGTGTGGCAGCAGGTGAAAATATTTTAAAACATGCAGGGCAGGGGGTCCCTGAAGAAGGGTAAACCCCTCAGACAGACAAGGCTACAGTTACATTTATACAATTTTGAAAAACTATAATGTGAAAATTTACAAAAGCTAGTTCTATAGGAATGGTTTGAGAATAGGAAAAATTTAAATTTTGGGAACTAAATTTTTTACCTGGGTCAGTTGCACTAATGAGTACTAATTTTTTTTAATTTTAAATTTTTAGCCACTTTTTTTCCAATAAAGGGAAAAAAACCCCTTGCCTTTTAAATGCGATAAACAAACCCCTCCAAAGGGCGAGTGCTGCCCAAAATTTCCCCGTCACCCCCCTTGATCTGAAGCATAGTTTTTTAAAACCACTTCTGGCCATTGGGCCTTTTTTTAGGGGGAGTTTAAAATTTAAATCGGGAAACCCGTTCCCAAAACAAAAATTAAATTTTTCTCGGTTTTTAAATCCCTGAAATTTTGAGAAAAAATTAAATTTTTTAACTTTAAAACCCAACCAAATTTCCGGGTTTTTTCCCAAACTCTTCCTTCTCATTGGGGCTGGCTAGGAGGGGCAATCTTTGCCTTTGTGAGAAAATCCGAACTCGCGAAAACAAATCCATCTGGCGGAGTCCCGGTTAGGACCCAAACCCTTTTTAAATGTGGAAAAAAATTAAAAAAAAAACCAAGAATGAAGCACAGAGTTTTAAAAAAAATAAAAGGAAAAAAAAGCCAAAAGATGGAATCAAAAATGTTACCAAGGTGATTTTTTGTGACTGTAAGTTTATGGCACTATAGCATATAGAGGGTATTAATTTTTAAAATTTAATCAATGTTAAGAGGTTTTAAAAATTACTTATTTAAATATATCAAAAAAAGCCTTTAAAATTTAAAGCCCTTTAAAAATATAATATTATATTATAAGGGCCCCCATAAATTTTATTTTTAAAGACAAAATTATTTTTTTTTTCAACTTTTTTTTTTTATCCCCAGCAAAAGAACTTTACTGAATATTTTTTCTATTTAGGCTTTAGGAAATTTTTGAATAATTTTTAAAAATAAATTTTGTTTAAATCAAAAAAATGTTGCAAAAAAGAAGTGGGGGAAACCCCATTCAAAAAAAAATGAATTTTTCTTTTAAAAACCTCTCCTTCCCTGACTCCCAGTTTCATTTTTAGGATGGTTTGTTGTAAAAAAGCCATTATAGCACATTGCGTGGCTTTCAGAGGGGGTAATAAGTTTTTTGAATATCTTTCAAAAATTAATTTGAAAGTTTTTATTTTATAATTATTTTTAAAACCCCAAAAAACCACTAAATCTTTTAGAAAATCTTAATTTAAATACTAAAAAAAATATTTTCCAAATATGCTCCCCCAGAAAAAAAAAATGGTCAAAAGGGCATTTAAAAGGGAAATTTTACCGAGCAAAACAGCAGTCTAGAAAATGAAATAAACGAAATTTCAATTTTTAAAACCCTTTAAGCATTTTTTTATTTAAATTTAAAAAAAATTTAAATTTAAAAATTTTTTAAAATATGGAAGTGATATCTAACCCTTTTAAACCCACTTCTGGTTCACTGGAAATAACTGGAGGAAATTAACAGCACGAGGAGCCCCTTTTTAAAGGCGTTCCCCAAAAGCGCTAACAACCTCATGATATGAAGCTTAATTAAAAACTAGGATAAATTTTAAAATTAAACCAAACAAAACAACCCTAGAAAAAAAACTTAAAAAAGGAAATTCTCAAACCCAAATTTAAAAAAGGTTTTTTCCCAAAATGTCCCGGGAATTTTGAGCCAAATTGGGGTTTTAAAGAAACTTTAGTTTTAATGCCCGTCCCCCAAATTTTAGGGGGTTGCCAGATTTGCTTAATAAATTACCAACATTTTATTCAATCCGGTTTAAAAAATCAAATTTTCTGCTGTCATAGTTATTTTTTAGACAATTTCGGAGAGGCAGATGGCTTTAAGTTTCACCAACAGAGGACTAAAGATATTTTGTACTCCATGCTAAACCTCTTTATTTTAGTGTTATTCAAACGAATAAACGCTCCCCACCTCTGCTGGTGTTACAGAGCTGGATAGTATTATTGCCCAGTCCAAAAATCAGCAGTGGCACAAAATATCTGTTACAATCCCCTGAAAATTGATATGAATTTAAACAATGTTCACAATAATAATACTATTTCCAAGCATTTATATTATTTTATACTAACTTTTTATAAGACAGGTGTGAAAATATTCTATGGGAATCTGCTCAACCTGCGTAGTCGAAGCCCCTCTATATGCAGTCAGAGGCACATGGAAAATAATCGGATAGGAGATTAAAAGTCGTGCACAACCGGTGTGACCGGGCCTTTATGAAGAAACCCCCACACTGGATGGAAGAGGAAACTGACCACAATTGTAGCTCCGGATCAGCTTTCCGTTCCTTTCTGGATATATATAGTTATGGAAAACATTATTAGACCACCTCTTGAACAGAAGTTGGAGAAAGAAAGGCTGGTATAATAATTTTTACCATTATAGTATTTTAGGTTTTCTCTATCAGCATGATGCCATATCTTAACATCAAGTAAAAGCATATTAGTAAAGGCCTTCAGGCTGGTGCATCTCAGTGTAGCTTTGCTAAGCTCTAAAAATGATTTGGAGCTTTTGTAATTGACCTTGATATATTTTAGTAAACAAGCACTTGAGTAAGAAATGACTATTGATGATTGGTTTTACTCCTCTTTAACACAGTGTGATTTATTATATTTTTACTTTTTTATGAGTTTCTCATAACAACCAGCCAAACATTGTGGAAATGCAGACAGGATTATGATGTTAGAAAAGCAATGATTGAGGATGGGTCATTTAATCCACTTTGTTCTGCTTGTTTGTTTAAATTGCCATCTGAACAATTCCTCACAGTTTCTGTTGAATGTTGTTTTATTTTGTTTAAAAGATTAACCTGTGTTTTCATTGAGCAGCTTTGAGAAGCACGCTAGGCTAGATTTTGGAGTCATTTTGGTTCAACAGTCCCATGCTCTGGGTTTATCATCTTTTTCTTTTGTACTTGTGTTACTAGCTTTAGAAGGAAATATTATTGGCTGATGTATTTTAATTTATAAATAAATTCAAATAGAAGCATTTTTCGTGTTTATTTTTGCGTAAAAGTGATTTCTCTCTGATCTCTGAGGAGGTACCATTCCTTTGGGTTAACCTTCTAATAATACAGTTACATTAATGATGTTCTTGGTCAATTGACAATTAAATATTTTTATAAAATATGGTAAAAGGTAAACTGTGGATTATATTAAGGATTATTAATCATGATTGTGATCAATTTTTACTACAAACTATTTCTTAAATCACAATTTCACAACAAAATATCTACTATACCACCATTAAATAGATAAAAATTTATTGGAAAAAGTGCAAAACTAAATGTTTTAGTGATTACAACACAAATCAGGCAGAATATGACTGC